TATATATATTGGTAACTTTTAGCTCAATTATCTCTATATAACCTGTCACCTACTCAGAACTTTGATTCCTATTTTTGGTTACCATTTCCTGGGCATCCTGGTCAATTCTTTCAGTTGGTCCCAGGTTGGGTTTGGCCTCATCCTTGTCTGTCAACTGTAGAGCAATCTCTGAGGCATCACTGTCATAGGACTAAGCATCAGGTTCTTTTTTTTTTGGTACCAGGGAAGGAACTCAGGACCTTGCTCTTGCCATGCAGGTGCTTGTGCTGCTGAGCTGTACCCCTGCCCCAGCGTCAGGTTCATCGGGTGCAATCAACTCTCTCTGCAGATCTGGCCCTGATACAGCGGGACAGCACACTCTGGCACCCAGACAGGCCATTCAGCCCCTCAACCCCAAATTAGCACTGGGCTGGGTCCCTTCCATTGTTTAGTATGAAGATCTTTCCAAAGGACCCTTCTGAACTTCTTTTCCTTTACCTGGTTGTATTGTCTTTGTGCTGCTATAGCTCCATCCTTAGTAAGATTTTAAAAGTTAATAGTATATACTGCCAAATGAAGTCTATTATGAGGTGTAAATTTTATAGGGAAGGATTCCCCCTTTTGTTTTTGTAATTGAATTTTGAGTGTATTTTGAGGGCACTTAACAATTCCTTGACCTTGAGGCTTATAAGGAATTTCTGTGGTAAGGGAAATATGAAAAGATTTATAAAACTTTTGGAAGGCAGCCATTGTCCATCTTAAGTGTCTGCAGGCAACCAAGGGTACTAAAGGCATCCAAGCCATGAGCAATGACATGTTTAGCAGTTTCTCCAGTGTGGGCAGAGCAAAAATAGGTCCTGAGCAAGTACCCACTAAACTTGGGCCCAGGATAGAGAGCCAAACTCAGGAATGTGAGTGACATCCATTTGCCAGAGATGATTGGGGTGTAATCCTCAGCAATTAACCCCCATAGAAGACCGGGGGTGGTGGCACACACTTGTAATCCCAGCACTCGGAAGGCTGAGGCAGGAGGATCAGTGCGAGTTCAAGACCAGCCTGGGCTACAAAGCGCGCTCAATGCCAGCCTGAACTGCATGGTGAGACCCTGTCTCAAAAAGACCAAAAAACAAACAAAGAAACACGGTGAGAGAAAATGTATTATGAATGAGGAACATCGTTTAACAATTTGTCGAGCCTATTCACCTGTTAAAAGGAACTGTTTGCTTAAGGCAGAAGCATTTTGATGAAAGGTGGCATGGGCGGCAGAAGCCTGTTGAATGGCTCTGAGGAGAGATGTTGGGAGCCACTGGAGTTGGTTGTTGGTCATCTGTCTGAGGGTGGGACGGATCCACAGTGCTTCAGGCAGTCAAGCTACCTCAGTACTGAAAAAAGTATCCTGTTTGGACAATTAGTCTTAGTCTTAGTCTTAGTTGCTAGGCAACATTATCTCTCATGATACTACTTTGCAAGTGTGTAAAATAAACGCCCCTACCGTTGGAGTCAGTCCTCTTGCTCATCCGGCAAGAGGTAACTCCACCTGACCCCGGCTTCCTTGTCTTTTGTCTTTATTTTCTATATCCTCTCACCATTTTCTCCCGGGGACCTCGGAGAGACCACCGACTCCCACAGAGTAACTGTGACGACAGTTAGCAATCTGTGTATTGCAGCGTGTCCTTCAGCGAGAGGCCTGGCACCTGGGAATGAGAACTTCCATGACCAATAAAACAGGAGACACAGGGCTGGGGATTTAGCTCAGTGGCACAGCGCCTGCCTGGCAAGCGCGACGTCCTGAGTTCGATTCCTGGTACCAGAAAAAACGAAACCAAAAACGAAAACAAAAAAAACCAGGAGACATGATGTGACCAAATAGCAAATTGGACAGTGTGAAACAAATAAAAAGATCTTCCTGGTTTAGTGTGAATGGTGGCAGTTTCCGTGTGGGGCATCACACTGCAGACATAAGTGCAGTCGCAGAAAGGTTCATTGGAGTGGATGAATGATCCTGTAAGCCCCGAATAACAGCTTGCAATTCCATCTTTTGTGCAGAAGAAAAACCGGCATCCTGTACTCGGGAAGAGACCGTAACGTAACCTCCTCTGCCCAAAGGAGCCACCTGGGAAAACAGAGGCTTCCTACTGTGGCAACGGAGCTTTTTTTTTTTCTTTTTCGGTATCGGAGATCGAACCCACAGCCTTGCGCTTGCCAGGCAGGCGCTTGTGCCACTGAGCTACAGCCCCAGCCCTTGAGCTTATTTCTGAAGGGAAGACAAAGGGTGTAAGAGAAGCAAACAATTAATTTCTCTGGAGGATAATGACAATCAATGACACCAAGTTTTTTTAGAGGAACAGACGATGGCTGTGCTGCCATCACAGCTGCAGCAGAGCAGCTTCGGCAAAATGTGCCTCTGAAACTGAAACAAGTAACCCTGTTCCCGCCCCTTCCTCTAGGCTGTGGAGGAACAACCTGAGTGACAGCTGCTGCCGAGGCAGCGCCCTGCACGGGAGGGGCCAGTGTCTGCATCAATCCTAATCATCTGTCAGTGTAGCCCATTGTGTGGGCTCTCAAAGCCTCCTCATACTATTTTCTTTCTTTCTTTTTTTTGGTTTTGGTTTTTTTCTGGTACTGGGAATTGAACTCATGACCTTGTGCTTGCCAGGCAGGCGTTGTGCTGCTGAGCTAAATCCCCAGCCCCTCTTTTTAATTTTTTTTTTTTTGTAATTTTTTTGTCTTTTTGAGACAGGGTCTCACTATACAGTTCAGGCTGGCGTTGAGCTCACTTTGTAGCCCAGGCTGGTCTCAAACTCCCAATGATCCATCTGCTTCAGCCTCCCAAGTGCTGGGATTACAGGCGTGTCCCACCATGCCTGGCTACTTGCATTTTCAAATGCCAACTGTTGAACTGTTAACTTGCTAGCTTCTGTATCACTTATAGTCCTCCCACTAGCCTGTAACAAGCATGCCACAAAATCCTGACGAGGTTCATCTGGACCCTGAAGAACTGGAAGTCAAATCAAGGGATGTCTCACTCTTTGAAGGAGGCTCCCTCTAAGCACTGTGGCACCTATTTTAATTTGTTCATATACTTGTAATTCAAAACTAAGTTATTTGGGGGATAGGGATTTAGCTTAGCGGCATAGTGCCTACCTGACAAGCGCGAGGTCGTGAGTTCGATTCCTAGTACAGGAAAAAAAAAAAAACAAAGTTATTTGTGGCAGCAGAGATACTTTCTCCAGTTAGCATGTCTTTTGTGATGGGTATGTTGTGAGTGGCACTGAAAGCAGCCTGATTTATGCACAATTCAAAAATTCATTCCCTTTCCACAATAAATAATCCCTCATACTTAAACATGTTTAGCTATTCTTTTCTGATCACTTGGAGCCATAAACTACTGTCCTATAAGTTCTATTAAACCTAAGGTAAAAGGGACCTTAGGACCTTAGGTAGCGGTAGCTTGTTTTAATTCTTTTAAGATCTTAGAGGGTACAGCTTCATGAAGACATATAACTTGTCCCGGATTATTGGGAACTTGAACTTGAGTAACAGGGTGGACATGCTGAAAACCCTTGATGGAGTCCCCCGCCTGTTTGGCTTCTTTTAGCACCAACTGCAAGGGAGAGGGAAAAAACAGCTCCACTCCAACCGGTGGCAGCAAAATTTCTCTGATCTGAAAAGGCAGGAATTTGCATTTGTGGCTCAGTTAAGGTTACTGGGATGTCTGTTGTTCCACCACCTTTTTCCTGCTCAGCACTTGATTTTAAAATAGTGCTCGAAGCCAAATCCTTTGTGGTCATCCCAACAAATTCAGGACCATTAAAGCACTCCCTAGTGCACATCCACAAAAGTAGAGTAAATACAGGTACCGGATGCAACACACATTTCTGTATACAACTGTGGTTCTTGACAGCCTGTCTGCCCCCAGTTATGCACCTGGTGATATTAATATCGATGCAGCCGTCAGTGCACTGCTCCCCTTCTGTGCACACAATGAGAATGTCCCTGGCCTAGATTTCTTCCTGCCTCACCCTGTGTTCAGGCCCCATCGTCAAGGCTCTCAAAGTTCCCAGGGCAAGGACTGCGGGAGGATGGAGGATGAAGGTAGGAGACAGAAGGCCGAGGTCAGTGGAGCCCTCCATCTGGGTGGGAGGAAGGGAACTGCTCAACCACAGTGGCGCTTTATTTATACGCTGGGCAGGTCGGTGTCACTTTTTGCCTAGCAACCCGTTGCTTGGGATTACCTGAGGGCTTGGTGCTGTCTGGACTGAAGCAGCCTCTTCAGCGGCTTGCCTCTGGAGGGCGCGCTTTGTTCTCAGACTGGGCCTGCCTCAGCCCCGCACCTGAGATGTTTCCAGCCTGAGCCACCGCCCATATCAGCGCTCCAGGAGGGAGAAGCAGGACTGCAAATTCCAGGCTAGCCGGGTACATTCAGTGATTTCAGGAGAACTTGTCTCAAAATAAAAATAAAAGCTCTGGAGATGGAGAGCTCAGTTTAGAAGCCCTGGGTTTAACCCCATTGGGGCGAGGGCGGGGCACCAGGAGTCCTGAAAAGGCCCAAACTCCTGCTCCGAGATAGGCCCAGGCTGTCTGCAGTCCGCGGATGAAACAGGAAACGCACAGTAACGGGCGGCGTTTACCACTCCGCCCGGCAGAGACCCAGACAGTGCTACGGATCATCCGCCGCTACAGGCGGTGCTTCCAAGCAAGGGGTCGGGGGCGGTGGCTCATGACTACAGTCCCAGCTAGGAGGGAGGCTGAAGCAGGAAGACTGCAGGTTCTAACACCAAAGCTCTGTTTTTTTGTGTTTTGTTTTTTGTTTTTTTTTTTCCGGTACTGGGAATCGAACTCACGACCTTGCGCTTGCCAGGCAGGGGCTGTGCCGCTGAGCTAAATCTCCAGCCCCTGGCAAAGCTCTGTTGAAAACACACTCTCGGCTACCCGAAAAACAACCCACCCCACCCAACCAAAACAGACCCAAAGAAGCCGGGGCCAGGAGGCCAACGCGCGACTAACCCGGATCAGGCGCGGTCAGGGCATCCCGGCGGGCTGCGGAGGAGCGGGGTGCGCCCCCTAGAGGCCACGCCTTGCGCCCTGCTCCTCCTCGTAGCTTTCTTTCTTTCTTTTTTTTTTTTTTTTGGTTTTTCTCCGGTACCGGAAACCGAACTCACGACCTTGCGCTTGCCAGGCAGGCACTTTTGCCGCTGAGCTAAATCCCCAGCCCCCTCCTCGTAGCTTTCTGCAAGCTGCCTTATTTACGCCTCATTTTTGACTTTTACTTTTATGGGCACATGTCGAGTACGCAGTTACTGCATTGTGGTGCACGGACGTCATACACCGCAATGCTTTTTACGGCCCCTCCTCCGCCCCCTTATTTATTTACTTATTTAATCACGTGCCTGAGCTATGTAGTGACTGTTTTGTTTTGGTTTGTTTTTCTGGTACCGGGAATCGAACTCACAACCTTGCGCTTGCTGGGCAGGCGCTGTGCCGCTGAGCTAAATCCGCAGCCCCTGTGGTGACTGTTCGTCGCGCTGACCTGGCCCTAGCGGGTCTGGCCCCTTTTTCTTCCCGTCGTCCCCATAATCTGAGGAGGGAGTGGAAGCGCGGGGTTCCCGCACTGACAGGGCCTTGAACTCCCAGGCTCCCACCCAAATGTCACGGGTCACTTTCTCTTGCGCAATTCCGCGCTGCCCGCAGGCAGAAGCTTTCTGTCCTCCCGCGGTACCCGTCTGCGCCCGGCCACGTGACCCAAACAGACCGGGTGCTTCCGTTTCCGGTCGGCTTCCACCGCAGCGGTGTCCCGGTGAGCGATCGCGCGCCGGGCCAGGGTCGGGCGGTGGCCGCAGCTGACCCTCGCGCCGTCCTTCTCGCCCCAGGTCCGCGCGGCGGCGCCATGGCGGAGCTGACGGCGCTGGAGAGTCTCATCGAGATGGGCTTCGCCCGGGGACGCGCGTAAGGGAGCCCAGCCCCGCGCCCCGCCCGCCGCCGCCATGGCTCGGGCGCCGCTCACGGTGTTTCTGCCCCCAGGGAGAAGGCTCTGGCCCTCACGGGGAACCAGGGCATCGAGGCCGCGATGGACTGGTGAGCGCCGGGTCGGGGGAGGGTGGTCGGCCGCAGCCACGCGCTAACTCCCCGCCCCGCAGGCTCATGGAGCACGAGGACGACCCCGAGGCCGACGAGCCGCCGCCCGCCCCGCGCGGGAGCGCCTTGGGCGGGGAGCCGGGACCGGAAGGTCGGCGGGGCGGAGGGCAGGGGGCGGACGGCGGGAAGGGACGAGAGGGCCTGGGCACAGTCACATTGGCGCTCGTTCCAGGGCCCGGGGCGGCCGCCGGGGAGAGGAGACCGGCCCTGACGGAAGAGGAGCGACAGGAGCAGACCAAGAGGTGAGCGCGGGCTCCGCCCTCCCCGCGGTGTGGACAGAGCCTTGGCCTCTGCGTTTCGTGTCCTTCGTTCGCTACGTATGTATCTAGGTGGTATGGGGGATCGAAGCCCGGGCCTTGTGCACGCAAGGCAAGAACTCTACCACGAACCACCCGAGCCACATCCCCAACTCTGTTTTTGTTTCTCTGGAGGCAGGGTCTCATTGTATAACTCAGGCTCGCTTTGATTTCTCAGCGACCCTCCTCCCTGAGCTTCTGGGGTGCTGGCCTGGCCCACCACGCCTGGCTTTAGAGCCTGAGGCATGCTGAGTATGTGGTTTAACACTGAGGTACACTCCTAGCATCATTCTGTTTCTTCTTGGCGTTCTTTTTCTTTCTTTAATTATTACACACATGTTCCCATTGTGAGTCCGCCTTCCAACTCCATGTCTGCTTCTCTTAAACTATTTACTTTTTGCAAAATAGGATGATGGAGCTGGTGGCCCAGAAGCAGCGGGAACGGGAAGAAAGGGAGGAGCGAGAGGCCTTAGAACGAGAAAAGCAACGCAGGAGACAAGGGCAGGAGCTGACAGCTGCTCGACAGAGACTACAGGAAGATGAGATGCGCCGGGCTGCGGAGGAGCGAAGGAGGGAGAAGGCTGAAGAGTTAGCAGCCAGGTCTGTGCTGCACATGCAGGTCAGTGACTGAGAAAGAAATTCAGATTTGCTTTGACTGCATCTGACCTATTTTTTCCATCTACATTTTAGACAGAGGGTTCGAGAAAAGATCGAAAGAGACAAGGCAGAGAGAGCGAAGAAGGTTGGTGACAGGGAATACTGTGTATTTTTTGTTTGTTTGTTTTTTGTTTCTTTCCGGTACCGGGAATTGAACTCACGACCTTGCGCTTGCCAGGCAGGCGCTGTGCCGCTGAGCTAAATCCCCAGCCCCGGGAATACTGTATAAAAGAATAGCTGGGTTAATCACCTCTGAGGGAAAGCATGAGCTTACATGTCAGTTTCTCCCTAAGGGTTACTGTGTTTTACTTTGTCCTCCAGTATGGTGGCAATGTGGGTCCTCAGCCATCCCTGCCAGTGACAGAGCCAGGTCCTGTTCCCTCTTCTCCCAGCCAGGAGCCTCCCACCAAGCGGGAGTATGACCAGTGTCGCATCCAGGTACTGACATCAATTTGTCTTGCTCCTGAAACCGCTTTGTTGGCCTACAGGGTATCCAGCTCAGAAATTCTGCAGTCATGGTCTGGTTGCCAAATCTCTCCCTTCTTTGTAAATGACTTTTGAAACCTTATCTCCTGCTTAGGGAAGAGATCAAATTTCCCCTGCCACAGTCTTACTTAAATCCACACCTCACTCTCATGCAGCAGTTGCCCTTTTACTTGTCCTTATTTTTGTTTGGTTCACTACACAGTTAATTTTGTGATATTTGTGACGATTTTTTTTTTTTTTTTGAGACAAGGTCTCTGTTATTCATGCTGTCCTTGAACTCATCATGGGGCTTCTCTGGCCTCAGCCTCCAGAGTGCAGAGATTACAGGCTTTTGCCCATATGCCCAGGTGTTTTTTTTGTTTGTTTGTTTGTTTTCCAGTATCAGGAATTGAATACATGACCTTGCGCTTGCCAGGCAGGCGCTGTGCTGCAGAGCTAAATTCCCAGCCCCATGCCCAGGTGATTTTGATCTTGATATTTTCTGTATACTACTTTATGTCGTTAGTACATTAAGTGGTGAGGGAACAGAGGCCATTCACACTTAATAAAGCAGAGCATGAGTGATTTTCATTAAGAGCATTAAATAGTCATGCTAGAGCTCAGTCTGAGAGGAAAGAAGGGCAGCTTTAGTTGTGTGGCTGTTGGCCACTCAGTTTTGATGCTCAGGGCTCTGGGCATCATCTCCCTTGCCCTTCCAGGTCAGGCTGCCAGATGGGACCTCACTGACCCAGACTTTCCAGGCCCGGGAACAGTTGGCGGCCGTGAGACTCTATGTGGAGCTGCACCGAGGGGGAGAGCCTGGAGGGGCTCAGGATCCTGTGCAGCTGCTCAGCGGCTTCCCTAGACGAGCCTTCTCCGAGGCTGACATGGAGCGGCCCCTACAGGAGCTGGGTATGGCGTGGGGAATGGAGCGTGAATGCCTGGGGAGGAGGCCACTGGCAGAAGGGGCTGAGGGACCTAGTGTGAGGCCAGGATTTGGGGAGCAAAAAGCAAGTGCTTTTGTGTTTCCAGCGTGTTTTCATTTGATCCTCAGGACTTGTGCCTTCTGCTGTACTCATTGTGGCCAAGAAATGTCCCAGCTGAAGAGCCTTTATCCCACCATCCTTTTTGACCTTTATCTTTGCTAAGGCGCTGACATCTCCACCCTAATAAACAGACCCCATGTGTTCTGTATGTGTCTGCTCCTTATTAAATAGCTGGGTGGGACAGAACTGGGCAGGGTCGTCAGTTAATGAAAAGGATGGGAAGATGCTGTACACATTCTTGGTCAGCTGTCATTCCCAACAGAGTAGTGTTCTGGCTTTAATCAGTGCAACCTTTCTTCAGTTACAGTTGTACTTGGGAACCACAGGGGTGAAATACAGGGGGCTGAGGGTGACACTCAATGACAGTCCATGTGCTTAGCATGCCAGAGGCTATGCCTAGGCTCAATAGGAAAGACCAACAGTTTGAGTCCAGCCTGGCAACTTAGACCTTAGCTCAAAACCTAAAGGGCTGGGAGTATAGCTCAGTGGCATAGTGCCTGCCTGGCAAGCACAAGGTCCTGAGTTTGATTCCAAGTACCAAAAATAAAAAAATAAACTAAAGATTCCAAAAGGCTGGCGATGTAGCTCAGTGGTAGTGGGACCCTTGGGGGCCTGGAAGCTACTAGTGAAAACCTTAGGATAACAACAACCCACACTTATTGAACACAGGCATTGCTCTTGCTGTGTAGTTCAGGCTCCCCTTAACTATAGCCCAGGCTGGCCTTGAATTGCAGTGATCCTCCTGCCTCTGATACCCGAGTGCTGAGATGCAGGTGGGTGCCACTTTGACCAGACAATTTCAATTTGTAGAACAGGAAATAGGTCTTGTAACATGACCATAAAGAGTCAAGCCAGATCGTTTTTTTGGGGGTAGGGGGTGGTGGTAGGGGTAGCTGCACTAGAATTCGGGACCTCACACTTGCCAAGTAGGTCCTGCCCTACTGAGCTACATTCCCAGCCCCTGAGCCAGATCTTTACAGATGACAGTTCTTTTTGCCACTCAATAGTGACGCATTATTGTTCCTTAGGTACTACACAACACTTTCAACAACCTAAAATGCAGGTGTATGTAGGAGTTTCCAGGGCAGTCTAGACTTAATGTCCTTGAGCCAGGCCTGGTGGCACAGGCCTGTAATCCTAGCACTTGGAATGCTGAGGCAGGAGGAACGCTGCAGTTAAAAGACCAGTTTGGGCTACAAAGTGAGCTCAAGGCCAGCCTGAACTGCATAGTGAGACCCTGGCTCAAAAAGACTAAAAAAAAGGGCTGGGGATTTAGCTCAGCGACATAGCGCCTGCCTGGCAAGCGCAAGGTAGTGAGTTCGATTCCCAGTACGGGGGGGGGGGGGAACACTATCCAAAAGACTGAAAAAAAAAAGTTCTTAAGATTGAAGCTAGTGTGCTGGTGCATGCCTGTAATCCCAGGTCTCTGGGAGGCTGAGGCAGGACAACCAGAAGCAAGGTCACTT